GTATCATTTTGTGTGTTTTTTGTTGTTTAATTTAAAAAATTAAAAAAAAAAAACCTTCGTTTGAGAACTTCCACCACCAGGTGGCAGCCATTTGTCAATCCCTTTTTGTTTACGGAGGAGAAGAAGATCAAGTTGTTGTCGTCGCTGTTTAATGACGTCATAAACCCGTGTCGGGTGACCGTGAGGGTTTTTGGTGAGCGTGTTAAAAGACGAACGAGGTTAAAAGAACAAAAAATGATTAATTTAGCGGTGCTGGTTCACAGCCTGAGGTGCTCTTTGTTACGAGCTGAAAGCAGGTTTCTGCAGGCAGCTGGACTGGGACCAACACCACAACTGGGTGAGTTTAATCACTGAAATCTCGTTTGATTTCGGTGGCGCTAAAACAGTCACAGCTTACATTTGAAAGCAGTCGTTTAAATGAAAGAATATCATCTTAGGTTTTTTCAGTGTCACTGATTTATTTCTCAATGACAGTGTTTTATTTTTCGGTGCTTCCATTACAAATCACATCAGCGTAGCGTTGATTGTTAGCCATGTCTGTGTTGTGGCCTCAGTGAGGTCATTTGTGTCTTAGTTGTGAAGATAAGTTTTTTTTTTTCTGTGTAGCTCCAGCTCTGGCCGTGAACGGCCCGAGCCTCCTGCCTCAGACCGACCAAGAGCATGAGCCGGAGGAGGAGCCGACCCTCCTGGACAGCATCTTGTGGATGGCCGCCCCCAAAAAGAGACGCTCCATCGAGGTCAACCGCACCAGGAGGAGAAGTGAAGCAAAACTTATAAAATTGAAGGTACTCGAAGTGCATGTAGGGCTGCAGAGCTGGACATAAATACAGACATGAACAGATTTACAGTGGGGAAAATAAGTATTTAGTCAGTCACCAATTGTGCAAGTTCTCCCACTTAAAAAAGATGAGAGAGGCCTGTAATTGACATCATAGGTAGACCTCAACTATGAGAGACAAAATGTGAAATATTTTTTTTGAGAAAATCATTCTGTCTGACTTTTAAAGAATTTTTTT